AAAGAAAGAAAGAAAGAAAGAAAGAAAGAAAGAAAGAAAGAAAGAAACATGGAGATGCCAGAACAAGAAAGTCCAGTTCTACAGACTTAATAAATTTGGAAAAGGCTCATCAAAGTACTGCAGCCCCACAACCTTGCCCTGGATAGAATCCCCCCACACTTCATCTCCTTAGGCATTATGGAGGTGAAGTGGATTTTACCATGGGTGAATTTCACCAATATTAAGGGATCAAATATAGAGATAGGATAGCATAACAGATTACAAATCTCAACCAGATTTCGTTACTTCCCCTCTCTGCCATTCAAAGACTTGACGTATCCTGCTTTCATTTTTAAATGGTCCAGCGTTACTTTGGCTACAGCCCTCTTTTTGCACACCTGTCTGCAATGCTCATTTGTGATGACTCCTCTTCTGTAGTAAGCACATTCCCACTCAAATCTTGTGTTGGCTTGGTTTCCTAAAACACAGATATGAGAAGCTGTGAATTCCATAGTAGACAGAGAGAGGAAATATTTAAAGAAAATAATCTTATTGGCCCAATCCTGCTTGCTTCACTCATGCAGGTATTCCTATTGCTTTCACCAAGACTATAAATGTGAGAAAGGCAAGCAGGACTTGGTTCTGTGCATGTATATGATAAAAAAAAATCAAAGGTTTACTGTAGGAAAATTTTTACACAGAGCACTAGAATACTCGCAAGTATAAACCACAGTAGAAACTGAAATTTGGTTTTCTTTGGCAGATACAGAGAGAGAGCTGATTTCAAATGACAACAATTAGTGGAAATTGTGGGACCAATCCTGTAGACACTCACTGCATAGAAACTCCATTAACCATTAATAAAACCTACTAATCAAGCCTACCTTGGGGAGACTTAGCTCTGACAATTTCATCTCAAATAATGAAAGTTACACGAGGCTATCATGAAACAAATGGACAGCATTAACTAAAGCCTTTTCTATCTAATTGTAGCTGTCGCAGCTCAGTTTACAAGGGAACACTTCCAAGAAGGCAGTCATTCTTAGAATTCAATAAGTTGCAGAAAAATATGGCAAGAAAAACGAATTATATGAAGCCCATAACTAAAGTTCACAAGAATGACTATTCTATGTAAACTTAGAAAACTCTCAAGTATCAGATATTTCAACTTTTTAAAAATTAAATGAAGATAGATTTTTATTAGCAGTTTTAGAGATTAAATATGGCTAACGGGTTATTATAACAGTGGTTATTATAGCACTTACACGGTGCTTAAATGTCCATAAACAGCTTTGAAGATGTAATTAAAGCACCCAATCCCCAGAGATTGTTGGAAAATGGGCTGGCGGGGGGGTTAACAAAAAGTGATGAAACACATTTCTTTCATGTTTTTCATCCAAATTTAGCATTTGTTATAATTTTCCAACCAGCTCTAGTAATAAATATCATTATCCTTCAAATGTGGAAGCAGAACTGTAGAAAGGGTGAGCAACTTGCCCAATGACATACATTAAGTTAGTCGCACAGCCAGGATAAGAACTCAGCAGTTCTTGGTTCCCATGTCCCTGACTAATCTATTAGATTATGCTGCCAAAGGTAGATGCAGTGAATACAAATGTGGAAGTGAAATAGACAAATGTTTAGCTAAGGGGCTTATCCACTGAAGTCAATAGGAGTCTTTCCATTGACTTATGGGCTTTGGATCAGGCCCTAAATGCCTTTCTTGTGTGTGTCCTAAATCAAACTGGGTATTGTACTGTCTGTAGAAGCACAACCTCTGGAGGATGCATATGTAAGATACATGAGATTCAAACCTCAAAACTAACTCCATCTGCTTTTTAAAAACTTACCTCTTTGATAGTGCTATTCCTCCCTCGCCATGAAAACCACCATCTTCCGCCTTTCTTGGGCATCTTATCCCTCATAATTGATTCCACAGTGGCCTGTGATAAATGGATGGTAACATAAATAATGGAACAAAAGAAAGGGACAACCTGACACATGCAAACAAAGGAAAATGATGAACACAATTTCAACCAAGGATAAACAGAAGAAAAGGAAACATACTGTCTGTGGGCCATAAATTTTATAAAAGCAAAACCTAATGGCATCCAGAACTGCACTGAAGTAACTGAAGCATGAATACTTGAGGAGTTTTTAAAGGAAAAAGAAAAGGAGATCAAACCAAAAAAGAAAAAGAAAGCATAAAATGGCATTAGTATAATGTCTAGCATGGGTAAATAATAGTCTGATTTGAGGTTGTTTAGTGAAAATTGTAAGTTACAAAACATATAAAAAAAACAGGTGACCAGTTTTTTGGAAGAGGTCTCAGGTACAAAGGCTACAAACTAAAAGGCAAGATGGTGGGTTACTCTCTCTAAAAGAAAACTAACATTTGTATTTATCATTAATTTGTGGGGAGAAGTGGTGTTACTATTTTTTATATTAATTTAGTGATGACATGTGTTGGATTGACAAGGACTAGACTCTGAAGTTATTTATCCAGAGATACGGTGTGGAGAGCAACAGTGCATACTTCCTTTCAATAACTCAACACCCAACCTGTCTGATCCATGACATGGAGCAATCATTTCCAAGGGCGACAGGATTTAGTTTTCACATCCATGAGCCCTTGGCCTCTCTACTAAAACTACAAGGGTGTCAGCGGTGTTTTGTAACCTGCCTATAGGACTATTCAGGGAGAAGGACATTTTAATGGAAATATAAGATGGCCTCTCCTCATGTAAGGAGCTTTCCACTGTAAGCCTGATTTTGCCCCTCCTCTCCAAAGATCAGTGTAAAATTGTGTAGGTGATAAGGGATCTTGTAAGACAAACCACAATCAAATCTAAGTTCTATTAATGGTTAGGAAGATGAGAAGCAGAGTTCAGCTACAGTGTCCATCTCTCTCTCTAACTATATTAGGTTTTTCAAAGGCTCCCCTTTACTGTTGCATTTAAAATGCATAAGAACGTAAGAATGGCCATACTGGGTAGACCAAAGTTCCATCTAGCCGAGCATCCTTTCTTCCAACAGTGGTAAGGTGCCCCAAAGGGAATGAACAGAACAGGTAATCATCAAGTGATCCATCCCCTGTCGCCCATTCCCAGCCTCTGGCAAAGAGAGGTTAGGGACACCATCCCTGCCCATCCTGGCTAATAGCCATTGATGGACCTATCCTCCATGACTTTATCTAGTTCTTTTTTGAACCCTGTTATAGTCTTGGCCTCCACAACATCCTCTGGCAAGGAGTTCCACAGGTTGACTATGTGTTGCATGAAAAAATACTTCCTTTTGTTTGTTTTAAACCTGCTGCCTATTAATTTCATTTGGTGACCCCTGATTCTTGTGTTACGAGAAGTAAATAACACTTCCTTATTTACTTTCTCCATACCAGTCATGACTTTATATACCTCTATCATATCCCCCCCTTAGTCGTCTCTTTTCCAAGCTGAAATGTCCCAGTCTTTTTAATCGCTCCTCATATGGAAGCCATTCCATAGCCCTAATCGTTTTTGTTGCCCTTTTCTGAACCTTTTCCAAAACCAATATATCTTTTTTGAGATGGGGCGACCACATCTGCACGCAGTATTCAAGAAAGATAGTGAGATAAATGTCAGAAAGGTAAAACTGAGCAAATAAGCTTTGGGGCTTCTTTAAAAGAAATGCAAAAAAGCAGAGGAACAGCTTGAGTCAAAATCTGAATTGTTGAGAGTAATGGCTCCAATTCAGCAAGCTACTTACACACGCGCCTAACTTGGAGCACGTGTCTGGTTCCACTGACTTCAACAGCACTACTGAGAAGCTTAAAGTTAGGCATGTGCTTAAGTACTTTGCTGAATGGGGGCCAATATCAACTATGCCTTTGCAAAAGCTCCAAGTTCACATTCACTTCATACAATCTCTTCTGACAAAATATAAAATCCTTTAACATTTCAATGACTTAGTTCTGTTGTTGGAACAAGTCAAAGCTCTACCAATATGTATGAAAATAAGTATGATCAGTTGGAAGATCAGTAATAGAAAGCAGGATGGTAATATTTTCAGGGTTATAGTTCACCCAAGTAAATCTTTCCAATCTAATGTATTGCTCAGTACCTGTTGCCTCATTTGATTATCCTGGTTCATTCTAGAAAGTTTCCAACATTTGGAATGTAAATACTGGTTTTAAAAAACAAACGTAGTGAATTTAGTGCTCGTGAATTATATTTTTATTGATAACCCAGGAAAATAAGGGTGAAATTAACTGCAGTGGGGTCAGGATTTCATCCTGAATCTTCTAATGTATCTACCAAAACATAGATCTTAGCAAAATGTTTTCAATGAAAAAACATACTCATGGTTTTGTGTTTCATTACAAACTCATACAGTTTACATGGAGTGTGGGCAGATGTACGGTGTTATGGTAGAACCAGGCATATTTGCAGATTCAGGTGATTCTCACGGAAAGGCGAGAGTAACGCAGTGGTACCCAGTAAGTGTCAGTTTGAGGCTTTGCATGAGTTTAGATTCCAAACTCAAAGTGACATTAAGGGGATTTGAACTCACGTGGGTCAAAACCAAAGACATCATTCGTGTGCAAAGCAAAATTGCAAATCTAAGTATAGATCTTTTTCCCAACAGTGTCCTCTCAATGAACCCTAAACTGTGGCAAGCACTTTTAAAAGTTACAAATCTCCCTGCTTGAATGCATGCTACTTTTCTGACACTTTAAAGCAAGGGCTACAACTTCTGCAATAGTTGTCCATTAACCGCAAACCTCTAGTCACTATTTCTACGGAAACTGTATGCTCTCTGCAGACATAATAGAAGGTACAGACACCAAATATTCAATTACAGCCCACAGTTATCTGTAAATATAACCTATGGTTACAAGCCAGTGAATATTAATCAAAGGAGAAAGGGGAGGATAAATCATCAAGAAGGGTCATCCTCTTTTGGACTTTATAATCCTCTAGATATTTTTTGAATTTTTATAAGCTAGCAAATAAATACAGTGTAGACCAAATTTAGGGCTTATCTACACAGGGAAGTTAGAGCTTAGCAAGGCAGAATGTGAATTTATAGCTCACTAGCCAGTCCGCACTAACTCCCTGTGTGGACACTCTTACTGCAGATGAGAAGTGCCTTTGTACACTTTAGCTTAATACACTAATTCCCCATGGGACTTAGTGCGAAGTAGCTAGGGTGCTGTACATTCACAGCCTAATTTGCTGCACACTAACTTCCCATGTAGACACGCCCTTAGTCCCGCTTAATTTTGGGTTGAATTTGGCCCTATGTTGTCAGCACAAGCTATGTGACTGGTTATGTGTGAATGGCTCCTACTGATGTGCACACTCTCTGTAAAATACAGTCACTTTCTCTGCCTTCCTTAATTTCAATTCATGAAATGAAAAACGCCACAGCTCATGCTTTCCCAACTTTCATGTTCAATCTCACCTTTGGCAAAGGTTTCTGGAATGCTTGCATTGCCAGTAGAAGTGGAGCAGCTGTTGTCCAGTTGTAGTACCTGAGAAATCAAAATAGTTTGTGTACTGTTACATTTTGTAATACCATCAATCCCAATTCACAGCCTAATAGTAATTGCACTGTCAGTTAAAGCAATGGAGTTTATTTAAACTAAAGAATAAAGCCATGAAGTTCAGATCTGGATCTACAAATCCATGTCCTACCTTAGACTACTTTGGTTGTGCCTATTTATTAAGGCAAAGTTCCAGTAAAACGTTAACATCAGACTTTACTTGGTCAGGGGGAGGGATAGCTCAGTGGTTTGAGCATTGGCCTGCTAAACCCAGAGTTGTGAGTTCAATCCTTGAGGGGGCCACTTGGGGATCTGGGGCAAAATCAGTACTTAGTCCTGCTAGTGAAGGCAGGGGGCTGGACTCAATGACCTTTCAAGGTCCCTTCCAGTTCTAGGAGATGGGATATCTCCATTAATTATTATTATTTAATATTCAAAGAACCTGGTTAAAGACTCTGGCTTGCTGGCTGGGGAACCCTCCTCCTCTGAATTGCTATAAAGGGTGACCAAATACCTATCCTCGTCTTGGCACTTTTACCTGGTGTAAAAGCTTTTCCAGTACAAGGACAGTCCATATTTACTATACCACAATTCCACAGGAGGAGAAGTCACATAGGCGATCATGAAAGAAAAGCTAAGCCCCAAACAGAAATTGTATTTCTCATCCATTCCTCATATCTGTACCATAGCTCAGGGACCTACATTTTCTACGAGCCACCTGTATTGCGCCTTCAAGGCGCTGTACAAATGTTCAGGTTTGGGTTCTGTGTGGTGCTGACTTTCTTCTGTGGTGTGCTGAGGGCCTGCAACTCCCATGGCAGTTAGGAAGCTAAATCCACAGCGATGCCACCCAACTGCCCATGAGAGTGAGGTCTGCACAGCACCACACTCGAGGTCTCCAGCACCTTTCCTAATCCGACCTTCCCAAATTAGTCCTCTCCTCACTACACCCTTGTGAGGTAGGTAAGTGGTATTATCCCCATTTTACAGATCAGGAAACCAGGGCAAGAAATTAAGCAACTTGTCCAAAAATCACACAATGAGTCAGCAGAGAGGCAAGATAATAATATATTCAGTGGATGTAGGTTCTTTCTCTGCATATAGAATGGCCATAGGCCGATCATGATTTCCCCATAAATATTAATCATTCAATGGTACTGAATGAATGTCTTAGCAAGGTTTATAGTCTATTTTATTTTTAATCTAGATATTGAGTGTGAACACTGTCTGCATTCAATACTAGCTCTTTGAAATCCAAATTAGTTACTTAATTAGCTGTAACTGGCTTTGAATCTCTCAGGGTGAATCTACAGTAGAAAAATGAGTACCCATTTGTTCAGCAATGGTGCAGCTGGTGTAAGCCCTAGGGTAGCACTAAAAACACGCAAATGCTTTTCCCACATTGTCCAGACTTTTGCCTGCTGAAATGTACTTACTTATTTCCAATCTTAACCACAAGGTTGGGGTCGTCAATGATAGCAGGATTGTCCACAAACTGCTGATATGTTACTGCTTGTTCTAAGAACTGATCTGTTGGAAATATTTAAAACATACTCACATAAGTACAGTACTTGCAATGGGACAGCCTGCCTACCCCCCGCCCCCAGAACTAGCATTAAAACATCCTGAAGAGCTAAGTTTCAGGCTCAGGATCAGTCCTTCACGACAGGGGTAGCAGAGACTAGCAGTACTATGGACACAGGGCTTAGAGCCCCAAGCTTGCAAGGTGCTGGGTATTTCCTCTGAGCTGCTGACTGCCCTTAACTCCTCACAGGAGGTGCTCAATGAAAGGTACAGTGATCAGCACATTGCAGGATCAGGCCTTTCACTCCTGGGTGAGGATGTGCCTCTTCAGTGACCTTCTCTGGCTAATTAGGGAAGTTGATGGACTCGATGAAGAGCTACAGCCCCAGCCAGAAACCTGATCAATACTTGCAAGGCCTGGAGGAAAATGCAAATGCATCCTCCGGACAAACACCCCCTTCCCTTCCTCGCCTTCAAGAATCACAATTATTTGGATTATTCACAAAATAATAAATAGAACTACTTTATCATAAACTACCCTCTGTATGGAATATTTTAACTTCTAGTTTCCAAACAGTGCTCAGACCAGTGTCAGTCTTAGATATTTCAATGGCTCCCATGACTCATATCTGAGCACCTAAAGGTTGTTGATGTATTTATCCTCACAACACTCCTGCGAGGTAGGGAAGAGCTGTTATCTCCATTTTACAGATGGGGAACCAAAGTGCAGAGAGACTAATGACTTGTCCAAGATCACACAGGAAGTCTGTGCCGAAGCTGAAAATGGAACCTACGCCTTCCAAGTCCCGGGCTAGCACCCTAACCATTGGGCCACCCTAACCATTGGGCCATCCTACCTGTCCATGGTAGTGACAGCTGTGAATTTACCAATTATACACTGCAGTAAAAGGCATAATAAATGGCAAATGCACCCCTTTATTACTGTTGCATGAAGAGAACCTGTAAATACAGTAATTTCCAAAATATATTACAGTAAGTTAAAATCAGTAATATAGTATTAATAACCCTAGAACTTCTGACATCATTTTTATCCAAATGAGAAGAGCTACATACTCCCTCAGCCTTAAATTCCTACCTCTAGCCACAAGAGGGCACTGTTTCCTCTTTAACAGGAGTTGAGAGTTGACTAACAATATGTAATCATAAGGCACAGGATCATTCTGTACCTTTTGTTATCTCTTTGTTGTCACTAAGACCTCCACAGAGTGAAATGGCAATTGAAGGCAAGTCTCTTATTCCATCTGAGACGCCTTCAACACCACTGTCAACACCTGAACTTCCACCAGAGTGAGGGGACTGATTGGCCGACCGTGGTCCATTTTCATTTGCATTCTTTCCATGTGCAATATTATCACCACTGTAGGGGGGAAAAAAAAAAAACAGTCTTTCAGTCCTCATTGTTTTCTGATCTGTATCATTCCCAAATTCTCTTCCTTCACAAGCCCAAACCCACATTGTGCACACATTAGGGTGACCAGATATCCCGATTTTATAGGGACAGTCCTAATATTTGGGGCTTTTTCTTATATAGGTGCCGATTACCCCCCACCCCCGTCCTGATTTTTCACACTTGCTATCTGGTCACCCTAGCACACACTAAGGCAAACAGCATGTTAAACTGTGTGATTCTCTGGCATAACAGGAAATCACTTCTCTATGGCAGGGAATTCAAATTAGTGGCCTTTCTCAGGCCTCATCTATACACAAAAGTTGTACTCTTTTAATCACACCAGTATAAAGAAGTACAACCCCCACTACCATGGACACAGTTACACTGGTATAATATTGCTTCTACCAACATAGCTATGGGAAAGCGAATAAGCTATTCCAGTATAATGTATCTATAGAACTGCATCCACACTACAGGCTGTACTGATAGAACTGTTTTGGTAAAAAATAATCACCCTTAAATACTTATATTGGATCAAAATCTGTGTGTAGATCAGTCATTATTTACTAGAACACACAGCGACAAAATTCTGTCTCTGTTACAATGACTTCCAGAGTTATAACAGGGCATTTGAGAGAAGAATTTGCAGCACAATCTCTCTCTTTTACCAATCTACCACGATTTTGTTTCAATGTTAATATTCCATCCTTAACAACGACAATGTTTAAGAAAGTCGAAAAAGATACTATTCAAATTATTCTCACTTTAGTTGTTGCTGAATGGCTTTCTGTCAACAAAACCACTATAGTATGATCTGGGAAGAGGATCATACAAATGTTAAAAAAAACTCTAATGGAAATTAAACCAAAATGATAATGATGTATTTGGGGAGAAAACACATTTTCATAAATAAAGGCATCATAAGTGTCATCCAAAAATAATTTTCTATCATTTGTATTTCTAGACGGTCAATCACTATAGTACAGTTAAAGTAAAATAATAATATTAATAATACTAAACTTTAAGTGATTTCAGGTAACAAACAAGGTGAAAAGCATATTGCATATTTATATATATATCCCTTAGAGTATCTTTTATGCTAAGAGCCATATACTGCCCTTGATCCATGAGTATAATTCCTATAACGTTAACAGAAATTGCACAGCAGTCTGAGATTAGTATATAATGCTTAGCATTTTCTATCACATTTCTTATGAACAAGTATAGATCTGTTACAAAGTTTCAAGAACATCTTTTCTCTGCATAATTTTAGGTATCCTTCCCAACATCCTTTTTTGACCTAGACTCTCATTTAGCTGAATGTTACTTACAGCCGGTATTCCTATAATCTTGGCACAATGAGACCTGCTAAGAATCTGATGGGAGAAGATGGAGATTTAACTAATATATTCTAATCCAAATAAATTGTTATACTTTTTGGGGAAATAAAGCGCAGCAACTTCTGGATCCATGTCAGTGAGGTCATCTAAATAGACACCATCAGCACCAAGATGCCGGCTTCGTTTATCTGTCAAACACAGAGTAAATAAATAATGAATTGGTGTCTTCCAAATACACAACAAGAATTAAAAAAAACTTATATCTTAAGGAGCTATAAAGCACATAAAGCATGTGCACATAATTCATAGTTAAAAGAAAAAACAATTATCGACAATGACACAAAGCTGCAAGGCCAAAAGTTTCACAACTGGCCACTGATTTTCGATGCCTTGGTGAGACACCAAAAGGCTGATTTTCAGAGGTGCTGAGCACCCACAATTCCAACTGAAGTCAATGCCGGCTACGCATGATGTCTCATTTGGATACCTAACCTGGAAACCTCTTTTGGATACCTAACAAGTGAGGGACCAAAAAAAAAAACGTTACAATGGTTTGGTTTTGCTGGGAGAGGAGTTATTTAAGTTAAGGCCGGTGTTAACACAAGGACAAATGGATACAAACTGGACAGCAACACGTTTAGGCTTGAAATTAGATGAAGGTTTCTAACCATCAGAGGAGTGAAGTTCTGGAGCAACCTTACAAGGGGGGCAGTGGGAGTAAAAAAAAAATCTAACTGGCTTCAAGACTGAGCTTAATAAGTTTAGGGAGGAGATGGAATGATGAGGTTACCTACAATGGCCTGTGTCTCATCTGCAATTGCTAGTAGCAAATATCACCAACGGCTGGAGATGGGACACTAGATGAGGAGGGCTCTGAGTTACTACAGAGATTTTTTCCCAGGTTTCTGGATGGTGGGTCTAGCTGACATGCTCAAGGTCTAACTGATCGCCATATTTGGGGAGGGAAGGAATTTTCCCCCAGATCCAGATTGGCAGAGACCCTAGAGGACTCCTTGTACCTTCCTCTGCAGCATGAGACACAGGTCACTTGCTGGTTTAAACTAGTGTAAATGGTGGATTCTCTACAATTTGAAGTCTTTAAATCATGATTTGAGGACTTCAGTAACTCAGCCAGAGGTTACAGGAGTGGGTGAGGTTCTGTGGTCTGCAATGTGCAGGAGGCCAGACTAGATGATCATGATGGTCCCTTCTGGCCTTAAATTCTATCAGCCGATCTTAAGTACTTTTATGGCCCCCATCACCATGTTATCTGAGCACTTCACACTCTCTAATATATTTATCCTCACAACATTCCTGACAATTTAGAAGTGCTATTGTCCCCATTTTTCAGATGAGAAACTGAGGCACAGAGATGCTAAGTGACTTGTCCCTGGTGACAAAGGGCAGGAACTTGAACACAGGTCTCCCAAGTCCTAGCTCAGTGCCATGACCACTGGACCATCTTTGCTCTCTTGTTGTAGCCACTTCTAGAAGAGTGACTGCACGGAGGGTGAAATCCTGAGGGTCTTACCCAGAGCTGTGACCTCCAGTTTGCATCCTTTACTCAAAACACACAACTCACTCGCTGAATTTCTGACAAGTAATCAAAGGAAGGGAAGTGAAGGCGCACAAATTACTGCATACTAGATGGAACACCTCTATCACTCTGACCTTCACAGACGTGGAACCCCTGGGGAACTGGCTGAGAAATGTGTCTGTAATAATGTCTGCTCATGTAAAGACTCCAGCACCCTGGAGAATTTGGGGTCTATCAAAATACATATTGTGAATGCGTAAACTTCATGTGGAGATTATATCCCTTATCAGAAAACAATCTAGCATCATCTTTAGAAATTAGATAGGAATAAAATGGGCACAGTTATATTCCAATTGAAGAAGATTATGTGTGTGCTGAACACAACAGAAATTGCTTATGTGTGATTAGACGATTCTGCTTTGTGGCATGCATGATGTTTAAGCAAAGGACATGTTGCAACTTTGCTTTGAGGTGGAGGCATTCCACCAGCTAGCAGTGGCGTGGCACAGCTGTAGAGCAGACTATTGGTACAGCTGAAAGGGAAATCTGTAGCATGCTCGGATCACCAAATTCTGCAACCCCTGGGTTTGTGAAATAGGGAAGAATTTAGTACAAGTTTTGCAACCCTGCTTATCTGCACAGATCTGCTAAATACAGTAACCAGGGGAGAAAATTATTTCTCTCCCTGTCATTACAGCTCTCTTTTAAAAAACCCACTCCACACACACATGCTCAGCTGTTGTTTATGTTAAAAGGCATATTGCTCTCCTTTCAGTCTCTCCAGAAATGCTCTGAAGTTATAGATTATGCTCTTTGTAGCCAGATGAACTAATCACTGTGGCATCTAGGTGCAAAATCACGTGCGTAGAATTGCAGGAGAAACTGCTTTACCTTTCTTTCTAGAAGGGGAATCTATTTTGCTTGCTTGCTGGACTAAGCAAGCGGTAGCTTGTTTGATTTCTTCATTTGCAGGCAGTGATGGTGCAGCTGCTCCTAGGGCCTCTATCTCTGGTTCATTTATCTCAGCTGGCACTGGCTCGGGGTCATTTACATCAGAAGCCGCAACAGCTGCCTGTCCAATGGCAGGTAAAGCAGTCAAGCTGCTTATCTCCTCTGCAGACTCACTTTGAATTACCCGAAAATGAGTGCTTTCTGAAGGATTTATATTCACCATGCTGGATTCCTTTGCCTTGAGTAGAGAAGTAGACTAGGAGAAAAAATAAACAGATCAGGATAATGAAAGCCCCTGAGAAAAAGAGAGACACAAAATAGTCAGAGTTTAGCCTGGTCTATTCACACAAAGCTCTACTTTGCACTGCCCTGTTTGGTTTTGATTTCAATGGGAGGTAAAGGCATTCCACATCTCCTAGGAAGCAAAATAGGGCCCGTTACACTTATTGTTGCCATGCCCACTGAAAGCTGATTCTCAAGAAAACCAGCTACCGCTGGAAACCTCAGTTAGCTGAATCACTGGTTCTTAACAGCCCAATTAAATAGATGCTCTGTCTGCATAACTCTTGTTGATTTCAAAAGGGGAGCTGCACTCTGAATGGCTACAACACTGGGACTTCAGTGAACAAACACTTCCGATAAAAGTGGTGGTTCCTAGTGAAAGGTATACAAAGAGTGATTCTCTGAGAAGCCATGCTAAGAACAACTCCTATTAGCCTGCCCAGGAGCTAAGCCCCCCTGTAGAGCTGCTGCTTAGTAGAGCAGCTGCCAACAGACCACCAGGATCTTAGTTTGAGTCTTGATTATGATAACGTTCAAGGCATATGCACCGCAAGGCTGTCATGTCATAGAGTCAGCCTATTGGTTAGACTATGCAGCAGCTAGACATGCACCATACGCTGCCATACCCTGAGTGCCAAACGCTGCATTTACTTCAGCACTCACTCACTGTTATGCAGCTCTATTCCTTTACATAAAATGAACAGTTGTGATCCATATGCTTACAAAGCCATAGTAAAGGTACCTCTTAGTTGGATATATGGGTAAAATTTTCAAAAAACCCTTAAGTGACTTTGGAACCTAAGTCTCATTGACTTTCAATGGGACATAGGCTCCTAAGTCACTGAGGCACTTTTGAAAATTTTACTCTGCATCATCTGTCCATAGGGCAGTGGGACACAGTATTTTTGTACCTGGTTGTTTCAGTCACTGCTGTCTCTCGCTATCTAGAATCAAAGTTACAGGTGGGGCTAAGAATTTAAAAATCAACTGGTGACTTTGGGTGCCCATCTGCAGACACCTTGAAAGGGCCTGACTGTCAGAAGGTGAGTGCCCAGAACTTTCTGAAAATCAGCTCCCTTTAACATACTTCAAGATGGGCACCCAAAATAACTACTCACTTCATGAAATCTTGGCCAGGAATGTTCTCTCCAGCTGTAATTTCAGTCAGTAACAAATATGAACAACACTAAATACCTTTAATTCTGTAGACAAAGTGTTTACATGCAAAGCCTTCCTCGTTTAGCAGAAATGTTTGCCTACATCAATATTTCCTATCTAGGCCAAGTCCCTAACTTGCCATTTCTTCCCCTGCAATACTTTAAAGTTCCAACCCTTCTACTCTGTCCCAACAGCTAAACTCTTATCCCAATCTTCATCATCTCCCATGTCAATCAGTGCAACCTCATCCTCTTGGACAGTCATTCCAAAAATCCACAATGCCCTCTCCAGCCCTTCCCAACTGCAGCCTCTAAAGTGATCTTCCTAGCCCATCCATCAAACTGCATCATCATCCCCCTTTGAATTCCTTCATTGGCTCCCCCTTCTCTATCTCATTAGATATTAATTTCTTGTCCTCATCTTTCAAGACTCAACATAATTCAGTTCTTAATCCTGACTTCGATTTGCCTGTATGAAGTAAAAGCCTAAAATCAAACAGGTATATCAGCTATGTGAAATATTGCACCCCCATGTACACGTGCCCTATTAACAATACACAGTAGATACTGGAAGGAATGAAACAGGAGTGATGTTTGATACCTTTGCAGCTTGAGGTAGTTCTCCCCAGGCCCAGTGCATTTGTGGGTTATTCTTCTGCATCCCCCTGTCCAAAGATTTACTGACTAATTCTGAATCACTCTTAGGAGTGGGAGGGCGTGAACCTGAGGGACTGGAAAACAAAACAAAATGGTACTTATTAAACAGCTAAGTAAAAGCAAAGCATAGGCCAAGCTGCATTACGCAGCATTTTGTTGTCTATTATCTGTATTACAAGCGTCGCCACAATACGCTAGGCACCTTCCAAACAGTCATGACCCAAAGAGTTCAGAAATCTAAGGAGCTCAGCAGCAAATCAAAGATGTGGAAACATGATAAACCATTTTCAAAATAACTATCTGAGACTGGCTCTCTGTGCACCCATTAATAAGCTGTCAGGTTTTGGTAGGCATCGGGGTCTTGAGGAGGAATTTGAAGGTGGCGGGGATACAGACTAGTTCAGGGAGGGCATCCAATGCATAAAAACACATGGAAGAAAGAGTGATAATTAGTAAATTACTAGTCTGTGGCATCACCAGTCATCTTTGTTTAATGCAATAAAATCAGTAGTCAATAGTACAAATAGTCAAATCAGCCACTAATGAGTGATGGTTCATAGACTGTAAAGCCAGAAGGGATGCCTCTGATCATCTACTCTGGCCTCCTGCATAGCACAAGCCCCTCAAATTTCATCCCAAATTCCTGCATCAAGCCTATAACTTCTGGCTGAGCTAGAGCATATATTTTAAATACAAATCCAATCTTGATTTAAAGAATCTACCACATCCCTGGAAAAGCTGTTCCCACAGTTAATTACCCTCACTATTAAAAATGTGCTTTTTAATTCTAATCTGAATTTGTCATGACTAAGTCATTTCTTAACCTTTTCTTAGATCAACTAAATAGATTGAGCTTCTTTAGTCTGTCTGTTCTCAGATAACAATTACTTTGCACTAGCACAATGGCAGATCTTAAAACTTGACAATTTTACCTCTGATAAATAGACACGGTTACCTAATTATCTGCATTTTGCCCTTGTAGTTTCCTGTGCTTACTATAGGAAATACCTTAAACATGGCAAATGCTAAGCTCCTCCAGCTACAAGTAATTAGTTATTTAAGAAAATCAGCACATTTGCAAGGGTCCTTGCTGTAGAAATTTTTTTCCTATTGATTTCCAAGCTCTTTACAATCATTAATCAATGCTCATCACAATCTCATCATTTTACAGATGGGGAGATTAAGATTTTAAAGATATTTACATGCCTAAAGATGCAAATAGGCATCTAGTGGGATTTTCATGGGAGTTATGCATCTATGCACTTTTGAAAATTCCACTAGGGCCCATATCCACAAAGGTATTTAGGCTCCTAGCTTCCATTGATCAAGGCCCAGGTGTCTATTTGCATCTTTAGGCACCTAACTACTTTTGAAAATCTGTCCCTAAGTGACTTACCCAAGGGAACACAGTAAATCAGTAGGTGGGTTAGGACTTGAACCCAGCAATCCTACTAATCCACCCTTGTCCCCCTCCAAAAAAACAAGAATGCATATTGTATCTACTAGGCATTTCACACAAGCACAATGAAGTGCATATATATTCAGTATTTCGTTTTGTAAATGTCTGGCTTTGCTTAAATGCAATTTAGATATAATAAAACTTAAAATTTTAGAAGGCAAAAGATGTCCACATTCCAAAATTCTTTTCTATAGAGCTCCTCTTGTAGATTAACACACAAACTCTAATATAACTTTAAGAAGTGCACAAGAATTATAATTAGAATGTTTGGAATGTCTGGGCCTCTTAAATTAAGTGCTGTAATATCAAATCAGAAATGTAAACATGCGCCAGAAATATTGCATTATTTGCACTCAAAAAAAGATGTTAAAGCATTCCTACTACTTAGATTGGTTGGAACATTATGCAAAGGTTAGTGTCCCATGCCATCTACAAATCACAAGCTGGGGTTGGTGTTCTTAGCATTCTGAGGCGAGCTGTCACTCCCTTAGAGTGAAAGCCTCGGACCTCTTCCTGCCCACAGAAGTCCCAAATCTACCATGATTCCATTGCACAAGGGCACTGGGAAGCAAAAAGCTACATAGCGCAGCTCTGCAACACACTGTGCCTTTAGAACCATTAAAAAAAAAAAAAGACTTTATGAGACTCCAAGACTGAGAAAGAACGTAAGCATATAATGCAAATGCACTGTCTCTTTGCAGCATACTACCACTGCTCTGCTTGGAAAGGATTTCCTCTTCCATGGACGTGCATAGTCTTTTTTGGGCCATGAGGTTACTCAACTGAAGAGAGAACTCCTCCCCACATGGATAGGGATTGAGCCTGGCAGAATTATATGAAAAATCACCAGGAATTTAAATACCCTGATCTGTGATGTGGGAATCCTCCTACCTCAGCACTTCCCTGGGCTTACAATGACAAACTCAAGGACTCTTTTCTTTACACACCATGTTCCCTTAATAATGTTAAACCGTTCCTACCACTGACCAACACCTCTCTGAAGTGACCCCTGGTTTATTAATGAAGGCACTAACTATGTTTATGAGCTCATATGTGTATACTTCTGCCTTCACACCTCATGTTGTATATTTTTGCCATGCTGTGGCTGCTTAAGACAGTGTTCACTGCACATAGCTGCTGTCAAAATCAATTTTGATAAAAGACTAACAAAGCTCATGATCACATTGCATATTGTCTTCAAAGATTTTTGTTTTGTTTTGTTTTTTACTGAATTGGGACAAATTAAGTGCCAGAGCAATGGCAGAGTTTTGCATGCTTCAATCAGGGATGAGCTGGACGTATTCAAGATAAAGACCATGTAAGACTGGTAATCTAGTGATTGTGTCCTGCCATGTAGGAGACCTTCTAGGTTCATTTCCCACTTCTAATTTCTTGCTCTCTGTCTTGGAAGGGATTGGGAATATTCTTCAGGTAATGTACTAAACTCCTGGGGAAGGCATGTCTTGCATCGGTCAGTAGCCTCAAGAACATTAATGGCTCCCAAAGGAATCCTGGCCATGTTTTAAAAAATGGTGATCATGACATGAACGTCAAGGCTAGGAGGTATACGTCAGAAGGGAAATAAATAAATGGAAGGGTGGGATCTCAGTGGGAGAGGTGGGGAGATTAGAGAATGATGTTGAAGACTATGGAGGGATAAATTATAATCCCACAAAACAGACTGAATTTAGCCAGAAAAAACTGTTACAGAATCTACGCCTGAAAGAGCACAGTATTTTTTACAAAGGGAACTATATAGCATGATCTGAACTTCATTAAAGCAGTAAATATTTGGATAAGACTGAGAGTTGTCAAAATAGTCCACTTACCATCACAGCACGGTGATGTGCTCCGACAGGTCAGGCAGTATAGCAAAAGTGGGGAATTCCTCTGGCATACAATAAAGACTAGTGAAATTATTATTATCTTTGACATTTGTTATGTGCACTGCAGTAGTGCCGTGAAGGCAGGACCCCATCATGCTAGGTGCTGTGCTAACAGATATCATCATAGAGTCTCAGCCTGAAGCGCTTACAATCTAAGCTTTAGACAAGAGACAGGGGGATACGACAAACAGATGGAGAGACCACAAGGGATCAGTGTGACGGCTGTGTACAGGGGAATAAGCAGCATTCACACCACACTAGCTGCCTGATCAAATGCTAAAAGGAACTGATGTTCTCTTTATCTATCTGTTTCTCGCTGACATAGAAAAGATGCATTTGAGCACAGGAGGGAGGTGTTTTTGATTATTTAAAGTGGTGTTGTGCTTGGAAAAAATGACATGGTAAAACGGCATTGAGAGCTTCCATCTTTGTCACCACCAACCCGGCAAAGACTGCCTGAGATCTGAGATTCAAACAAGGCTCTTTCCTTCTCTCAAATCAACATCTGTAATAAAGGTTCCATAGGCTGAATTAGGTCCTGTTATCACTGTGCAACCTCACTGTTTTCCAATTAAGCCCTTGGTGAGACTTGTGAAATTCCATTGTCTTCAATTAGTTATTACAGGTTAAACCATGACTGAACCATATCCAGCATTCTGTTGATGTTGCACAATAAGGAATGGAAACCTTACTTTAGTCACTGTCATGTCAGCATCCTTTCGTCTACGAGAGACAGTGGGAATTGCCGTCTATGACATAGATGGTTTGCAATGTCTCATGTGACTGAATCATCCAATCCAAGATTTGCATGATCTCTGGCAGTTATTGCAAATGTATTGGGAGATGCTGGCTTCTTACGGGCTCTTTTCTCTTCAAGCTGTAGGAGCCAGCTTCTGTCACGGAGTTTGATACCCTGATGGAGACGATGGTGCCCCTTGTTATGATCACTTGCCAAGATTTCCCATTGGTCAGGATCAATTCCAAATTCCTTTATATCTCGCTTGCATGTGTCTTTATAGTGAAGCTTGGGACGTCCTGTTGTCCTTGTTCGCTCTGATAACTCCCCGTATAGCATGCCCTTGGGTATGCGTCCGTCTTCCAGCCTACTCAGATGGCCCAGCCAGCGCAATCATCTTTGCTTGTGCAGGGCTGTCACACTTGGTAAATTTGTCCTTTGAAGAACCTCTGTGTTGGTGACTTTATCCTGCCATTTGGTGTTGAGTATGTGGCGTAAACAGCATAGATGGAAACTGTTTAATCTTTTCTCCTGATGAGCATAAGTTGTCCATGTTTCCCCACCATACATGAGAGTGCTTAGGGTGCAGGCTTGATACACTAGCATTTTGGTCTTGATGGTAAGCTTTGAGTTGTTCCATGCTCTTTTAGTTAGTCTGCTAAAGGTGATGGCAGTCTTTCCAATGCGAACATTTAGTTCTTCATCCAGTGAGAGGTTGGTGGTCACTGTAGAACCTAAATAGCTGGACTTTTGGACTACTTATAGCTGGTTTGCATTTAAGGTAATTGAAGGCTCTTGTGGAGCATCCTGTCCTAATACAACGGTTTTCTTAATGCTGATGTGAGAGTAAATGCCTGACAAGCACTTGAAAGGTGGTCCATGAGTTCCTGTAGTAGATCTTCATCATGGGCTATGTGGGCAGCATCATCAGCGAATAGAAGTCCCCTGATTAGCATCTTTATGACTTTGGTCTTTGAGTTAAGTCATGATAGATTGAAGAGTTTCCCATCTGATCTTGTGTGGAGATACACTCCATCTTTCATGTACTTAAACACGCAGTTCAAAAGTACTGAGAAGAAGATTCCAAAGAGCGTAGGGGCAAGAACACATCTTTGCTTCACTCCGCTTTTCATCTCAAAGCTGTCCGAAGTGGATCCATCAAACTGGCCAGTTGCTATCATGTTGTTGTGGAATGAACATATAAGACATAGCATGGTTGGTGGGCATCCTATCTTTTCTAGTATTACAAACAGACCTGCTCTGCTGACTGTGTTGAATGCTTTGGTTAGGTCCACAAAGGCGATATACAATGGTCAGTTTTGCTCTATGCACTTTTCTTGGAGTTGACTCAGAGAAAATATCAAGTCTATAGTTGATCTTCCAGCCCAGAATCCACACTGTGATTCAGGGTAGACACGATTCACCAGCTGTTGTAGGCACACTAAGATGACTTTTGTGAAGTCAGAGGTATACACACAAGAAAGAAACATCACCAACGAATCACTGGACCAAATACCAACTCTACAGGTCATGCCAGAGCTAGATGTGGAGCCCACTGTAGAAGAACTAAGCAAGGCCATTGATTTGCTATCAAGTGGCAAGGCTCCTGGAAAAGATGGCATCTCAGCGGAAATCTTCAAGTGTGGGAAAGACAGCCTACTACCATATCTTCATCAGCTGTTATTTAAATGCTGATGAGGAATGGTGGTACAGAGAGGCTAAGTGACTTGCCCATAGTTACATAAGAAGGACGTAGCACAGTAGGGACTTCAATCTAGGTCTCCTAAGTCCTATGCTATTGCCCTATGCACTGGACCATCCTTCCGGTCTATAGATGCTCTCTCCCCTACATTCCGAGTACAGAAAAGCTTCTATCCCCCACCCAAAGAATGAAGATAGGAGGACAAGAGAAAAAGGCTCCCTCACCCATGCCACCCCCTCTCTTGTCTGATTAAGCATCATCTTGTGAGGGGTTTTAGATTTTTCATTTAAAAATACTGTGTTACCATAGAGGGAAAGCAAACTCTGCAGGAAGGCCCCGTTTTCTGTGAAATGAAAATGACGTCTTTTTTTTTTTAAATTAAACTACAGAAAGCCCAAAAGGAAATGTCTGTATTAACTTCAATAGAACTACAGCAACTAACACCCGCCGAGGACCTGGATCATTTGTCCTTGGATGTTTTCTTGGTCTTTTTTCCATTTTTCTAATCCTTTTTCTCATTATACTGATGTTATATTACCCATCATAGTGCAATTCAGGGCTTCTCTGTGCAACTTATCTACATTCAAAGTCCAGGTAGGAGGCAAGTAAAGGAAATTCTGCTATCTTGCATTTTCCTCCCAAGTGTCTAGGTTAGTAATAAGCAGCTTTGTAAGTTAGGCAAAATTCGCATACTGTTAATGCGTTAAAGGATTAATCACACATCCCAAGAGAGGGAGAATAACTCCTCTACCTGTCTGTAGCAGGGAAGTGAGAGGATTGATGAGGACAAGAACTAGATAGGCCTCCATCTGCTGGAACAGTGAGATGAGAGGATGGCCCTGTGCAATCTATAGGCTTACTGGATAGCACAATACATTGAAAGAGAGAAAAACTGGGTGTCATTATTCAAAATAGGTGCTAATTAACACAAGCTCTTCAGGCACTCAAAGGTCATTTGTAAACAGGACTATACATCTCAAGTTTTCAAAATCTAAGCATTGCAATCAAGAAGCACAAAGGTAGCATACAGTTCAAACTAGCCACCAAGTCACCAAGAAATAGACTTCATTGGAACCTCACTGCGACATGCGGAAAGAGGACTTGTCTGACGTCAATTGAACAGCTTTGAGGCTGTCCCTCAGGAGGAAGAAATGCAATCCAAATTGACACACTTTGATTCTAATGTATGCACACCCACACTGTGTGTACACAAAGAGTATTAAACAAGAAATGCATAAGGAATATAAGTATATAGTATGCTGTATGTATATGTGTTTATTATCTATAATGAACATTCCATGTTATAGTCACCTTTGTAACTAAAGAAATAGTTTTTTGAAATAGACAAAGGAAGCTTATTTTCTTGAATCATAAAGAATCTTGGTTTTTTACATATTAGGGCGCAATCTTGCAAGTCCTTGGTAGGTAAAAAAAAAAGTAAAAAAAAATAGACTCATAACTAAATTCACTAAAGTCTTTCTGTGTAGCATGGATTCAAGTTCCATCAGTGTTACTATACATGTGAGTAATTGCTTCAGGATTAGATCATTGTTTCTGGACAAATGAATTTTTGGTTTAGGGCAGCACGATTCCCAACTTCAAAGATCAGCACTGGGCATGTGACCAGATTAAGGCAACAAATATTATAGGGTTCAAACACAGCATAGTCCACATTTGAAGTGAGAGTAGAGTTGCCCTAACGCTGTTGCATACTGTCAGAACTCAAATCTCTTTTATTGGACCAACTTCTATTGGTGACAGAGACAAGCTTTCAGGCCCAACCGAGCTCTTCTTCAGGTCTGGGAAAGGTTCTCCCAGCGTCATAGCTAAATGAAAATGTGACATTGGGAGTACCTTTCCCAGACTTGAAGAAGAGCTGTGTATTGCTCAAAAACTTGTCTCTCTCACTAACAGAAGTTGGTTCAATAAAATATATTATCTCACCCACCTTGTCTCTCTAATATCCTGGGACTGACATGGTTACAACAATACCGCATATTCAACTGTAGAAGGTATTCATCTATTATAGTGACAATGCTTCACTCAACAAGACTTGAGAAGGCAGCAAGTAGGACTAAGTGAGGAAGGAGAGATTGTTTAAAAAAACTATATATTATACTTCTATATACTGTACCTCTGAAGGGGTGACCACTCTCCATCTGAATGGGTATATGGTGCAGACTGCGAAAGCATACTGATTGCAGAAGCATTTATTTCAGACACTTCTTCACTAAACTCATCCGTAACAGATATCCTGAGCATAAAAAAAATGGAAGTTAAAATAATGCTTGAATATTAAATTTCCTCATATCTCAGTTAATAGACAGAATAATGCAGACATGTTCTAGTACAGGGATTGGCAACCTTTGACACGCAGCCTGCCAGGGTAAGCACCCTGGTGGGCCGGGGCAGTTTGTTTACCTGCCGCATCCGCAGGTTCGGCCGATCACTGCTCCCACTAGCCGTGGTTCGCCGCTCCAGGCCAATGGGGACTGGGGGAAGCGGCGCGGGCCGAGGAATGTGCTGGCCAACACTTCCTGCTGCCCCCATTGGCCTGGAGCGGCGAACCGTGGCCAGTGGGAGCCACGATCGGCTGAACCTGCAGACGCGGCAGGTAAACAAACCAGCCGCGTGCCAAAGGTTGCCAATCCCTGTTCTAGTAAGAAGACACCCAGATGTTGGTATAAATTCAAATTGTGGGAGAAAACCATAATCTGACTCACACCCTATAGTTCCACAGATATCATTCTCCTGGTCACTTTGCTGTCAATTTCCTAGGTTAAAACTCATTCTCAGGGCCAGATGCTCCTCAGCCATGTGTGCTGCTGGAGGGAAGCTGAAATCTGAAGAAGTGGATGGGGGCAATGGAAGGGGGAAGCAATGACTCTGCTACATGCTACTCTCACCCTCTGAATCCTCAACATCCCTTCTGTACACAGACTGTGGAGATGGAGCTTTTCTGGTTCCGAGTAGATGTATGGGGGGTGGGCAGTGCGTACAGTAGGAGGTGATAAATCCGAAGCAGTAATCACTGTACATCACAAGCTTCCCTCCTATTCTGCCAGATTTCAAAGCAGAAATGCATCCATGAGCTATTGTTGCTCTGAAACACAGGTAGGGAGAGGAAAACAAGGGAGAGCCAACTGCAGAGCTGAACAAAGGGGACCAAGAGAGGACCCACAGAGCAGTTGGCTCTCCATGCTTCTAACTTCAGGATCTATGGGGTTTGCACAATGATAGCTCCAGTAATTAGTGGATCTGGATATTCTGGATTAATCATCAGAATGTTTTATCCACTGTATGGACACAAGATACAGTATAGGTCAAATTCTCTGCTGGTGTATATCAGTGTAGGTCCACTGAAATCAATGGAGGAATGCTAATTTACACTAGCTAAGGCTCTGATCCTGGCAATCTATTAGATTCCTGTACCTATACATTACCGGGGAGTAATAGCCAAACTAAAAAGGGGTTTTCTCCATGTTGGTTTCAGACCAGAAGTCTCTCGGATTTCATAACTAGTTTTCAGGGTTTGGTTATTAATTCAGAAGGACATTTTTACACACACACACCCAGAAAAACACCGAGTCCCCTCTCTGCAATACATGCAAGAAACATTTAATCCTTTCAATCTGGCATTAGATCTGCATTATAAATGATGATACCTCATATTGTCCACGGGCTCATTCTCTTCCTCTGAACTAATCTGTATAGAAAACATTTCTTCATCTTCTGATGTGTCTCCATTGACTTCTCTTTTTAAACTGTCAAGTTTATGGGTAGATTTCCTCCTCCTCTTCCTTCTTTTCTTCACAGAGACACAAATCGAGGAGCTTTCTGTAGCAGACTGGGAAGCAAGCCCGGGGATTGATACCTGTGAGGATCCAGTGGAGTCCAGATTCCTCACCCTGTCCATCAAGTTCCTCTTCAGCTGTGATTCCATCAGAGCAGCTCCCTCTGATAGAATGGGGGAGGTAGCAAGGTGGTAAGGAATTACCTCCTGAAGACAAAGAAATCAAAACCAGGGGGCATATTATTCCCTCCCACAGTCAAAAATATAGGTCTAGCATCTGAGCAGAATGGTCTCTGTCCATTAACCCAACTGACTAACAAAACAACTCAGGCCCAGAGTGCCCCTTCCCCATGTGTGCTCCCTGGGGTCCAAGCCGGGGGGAAATGGATTCAGGGTGGCAGCTCCTAGAGGAAACAAGGGAGGATACCTGCACTAAGGGGTTCTTCTGTATAGCTAATACTGGCCCGTGTCTCTAGCCAGTTGATGCTAGATATAGGCCAGAATCAGAAGAACCAAACAACATAGAATTTTGGGGTAAGTCTGATCCATCTTAATAGCTCAGCACCCTCTGTCTCTCTAATGGGCCTGAACCAGAATCCTAGATCCAAACCTCCACAGACTCTAATCTGGATCCATACCCAAAGCTTGTGGCTCAGGCTCATCTCAAATGTTAACACATCAGAATGGAGACACTGGGCTAGACTGTGCCAGGCCCCGGCATGGATGCAAGGAGAGGCCTGAGAAGCCTCCACACACTGTCCCACCCAGAGGCACAATGACTGTCCCTACACTCCCTGAACACAGAGACTGCTTCTGCCGTGTGCCCCAACAAGCTGTAGTCTCCCTGCAGGGCCAAAGGAGGACAGGAAGGGAGGAGGCAGAGCCACACCCACCCAACAAAAGGCTCATGGAACTACCCAGGTACACAGCAGAGCATATGCTGCACCCTGGAAGGCACATTCACTTCCACATTCAGTTAGGGTTCTGCCTTGTAACACAATTGTTCCTTTCGCTTTTCACACAAGGCAACTCGAACATAAATTAGATGATTGCTTAGGCTCCAGTTGAATGGGAGCTTTGCAGGCACTGTGCACATCCCAGGGCAGAATTCAATGCTTATTAAGTGATGGAACCACTATTTCTTAAGTGAAGATTCATAACTTATGTCCTGGTCATGCCCCCATGATCTGCATGCAGATCACACCACTCTCAGGAAACAGTAGGGGGCTAGTAACCTCTGCATCAGTGACAGGTATGATTTGTATCACACAATGTCAAGATTTCAGGGAGACCAGAACTTTCCCAAAGATTCTGGTTATGTGGTTATATACACTAAATAATATACACACCCCATCTAAAATACATGTGGAAAGTTTCCTAGCAATCTTGTTTAGCTAGAAATGATCGCTACCATCTAACATATTTAGATGTAAAGACGTGGGGAGAAAGATTGTTCATGGATGCAACTCATAACTGAAGTTAATGGGACTAAACTGGTACATCGGGGTTTAAAAATGTGTCTCATGCTGGAGAATCAAAACAATTGTCGCATACTCCTCAAGCAAATACCCTTAAAAGGTTTCCCCTTCTCTACCTTGTGGGAAGTGTCATCAACATTAGTGTGGCTCTCATTTAAAGTGCATAGCAGTTAATCACAGAGTCTCACAACAGGAATTCTAGTTTAAGTAGAATTCAGTGTGAGTAATGGGTGCAGAATCATACTTTTTTAATGAGTAACATGAACACTTTAAGACCACATGTTTAAAAGGACACAAGTGTGCATTAGGCAATGTATTTGCGGATATTTGGAGTGTGCTAAAGTGTGCATATTTTTGTGCCTGTGCGCACATGCACACACACACACACATGCACATTTGGGCCTTACTTATTACTTTGACAATGGGCTTTGCCAAGCTGTCAAACCTGAAATACTTAATCCAGTACCAAACTCCTCTATGAGAAAAAATGCACAGCAACTATCTGAATGACTCAATTAAACATATACTGGATCGAGGTATATTTTTAAACAAAAGCCCTAAATCCAAAATCGCTGCCACAGTGTATGCCCCAGAAAGTTGACAAATTAAAATCATCTTTAGACGTTACCTGATCATTGTCCATTTCCTGTACAAAAAATGCCTCTCCATTGTCTCCTAGTTTCATGTGCAAATCTACAGGTTCTCCATTAATTTCTATGTCAACCTTGGAGGGGAAAAAACAATAAAAATAAAGCAATCTTAGGAACAGAGGAACTGCCATTTCAATTCCATCTATTGCTCTATCCTGTCCCTGACATTGGTCAGATGCTTCAGAGGAAGGTGAAAGAAACCTACAGTAGATAATTATGGGGAAAGCTGCCTATTGGGGCAGTATCTTGCTAACCTCTGTTAGTTAATGACAGGTTTCAGAGTGGTAGCCATGTTAGTCTGTATCAGCAGAAACAACAAGGAGTCCTCGTTGTTTCTGTTAATTAATGGTTGGCTTGCACCCTGAATCGTGACTGTTTTTATCCCATATAAAAAAATTCTGTGTTTTATCTAATGTAACTGTAGATATTTGTAACGGGGCAGTTACCCCGCTCCTATGAAAGGCTAGGATGATTGGGAAGGCAGCCACAGCTGGGGCTATGCCCCAATTAGACCACAGCTGGCCCTATAAAGGGCTGTGAGCCAGGGACTGAGTCAGTCTCTCTCCAGTTTTGGAGGGAGAAGGACCTAGCTGTCTGGGAACTCAGAGAACGGAACGGAACGGAACGGGACGGGACGGGACGGGACGGGACGGGACGGGACAGGACAGGACTGGGGAAAGACCAGAGGAGCTGTGGGCCTGGTTAAAGGCCAAAACAGGTACTGGGGGCTGCAGAGGGGCAGCCTGGGGATAGGCAAAGGCAGCAGGTCCTACCCCCTTGCCAATGATGAGTGGTGTTTACAGACTGCAGTTTGCCCCAGTGAGAGGGGGCTAGATGACGACTGGCAGTAGCCACTGAGGCAAGGTGGGTTTAGAGGCTTGGGGGTTCCCCTGGGAGGGGAGACCCAGAGTGGGGGGTACTGCAGGGCAGAACCCTGAGGTAAAAGGCACTGGGATCCGGGAGGGACACTGGGCCCTAAGGCAGGCGAGACACCGGCCTGCAGAGGGCGCTATGGGCTGGACAAGAGCTAATTCCCAGGACGACCAGCAGGCGGCGCCGGTGAGTCTTTGCGTCCCTACAATGTTGCATTAGCCACATAAATTTCTAATCTATTTTAAATCCTACTAAGCTCTTGACCTCGGTGATTCTTTTGGTCAAAAAGTATCACATTTTCACTCAATGTACAATTTGTCTGTATTTCCTTTTATCAGTTGTAAATGTATTGCCTTTCAAGTTCATTAAATGCCCCTGTCTTGGCACTATGATAAAGGAGACATAGGAAAACCTGATTTGCCATCTTCACACCATTCATTGTTGTTTAATCACTGTCATAGCCCCAATCTTTTCAATCTCTCCTCCATGCCGGAAATATCTCTATGCCTCTAATCATTTCAGTCACCCATTCTAGTTGTTATATCATTTTTGAAATTAGGGTGACCATAACTGAACACAGTATTTCAGGCCAGGGCATCCAACTGATTTATATAATGACATTATCCAGTATTTTCTACCCACTCTTTATACCCACTTTTCCTTTTTGACTCAGAAAAGTAGTGAGCAACAGTTTTCACTCAGCTATCAACAACGACACTCAGGTCTGTTTCCTGAGCGATTACACACATTTTAGGTTCTAAATTAACTGTAAGTAGTACAAATTATCATGCATTTGTCACCAGTGGCTTTCATTTGACATGAGGCTGCCAGTTCTCCTAGCTTTGTTAGGTTCCTCTGAAGTCCCTCGCAGCCTTCTCTAGCTTTGAATAACATAAATAATTTTGCTATCTGCAAATTTTACCACCTCACCATTCACACCTTTTTTTCCAGGTCATTAATAAACATGATGAACAACGAGGTCCTAGTGTAAAACATAAGAACTTAATGTTAACCTAGGTCTGTACTGTCAACCTTTTGCCATATTGAAAAGGAATTTTCCAACAATTATGGAAAGTATTTCATCATGAGCATGTATCGATCATTATTCAACAGAAACCACAGCAAAACTTTAAGGTTTAGCTGTAATGAGAGGAATCTTGAGATGTACTTTAATTAAAATATTTGTCAATATGCCAACCCAATCCTATAAATATTATCAAGTTAAATAACATGAGCCATAGTTATATCTTCTGAAATTCCAAGTAAAAGTCTAAATGTAGACATGGAAACTGTATTTTCAGTCAATACATTTGCCTAACTGTAGTTTGGTTTGTAGTTATTATGATCAACTGTCTACACATTATGCATTAAAATAATGATAGCATTATCAACCATTTTAACTGAACCTTGAAAATACAATTTAGGCTCTTTATAAAGACCCTCTAATGAAAGCTTTGACTGCTACATTGTTAACATACTCTGTATCTTCATGCAATGAGTTCACACACTGAGAAAACAAGAGAAAAGTAACAAGACTTCTGTTTTCTTACCACTTTCTCTCTAGAACGCAGAACCCCCATTTTCCCAAAGCGCACATGGAAAGGGGAACATTGAAGATTTCCATCTGGCTGACGTACAACAATTATATCAATACATCCAGATAGCGTGGCAGGATTTAATCCCTTGTAGAGCTCCTTCACAGTAACAAATACTTGGCCTGCTAACTGCCCAACGTAATTCATGGTTTGTGCCTGGAAAGAAGCATACAGAAGATACATGTAGTCAAAAAAAATCTGATATTGTCAAGACTTCTGAACAATCCAGAAACCTTTAGATTCCGGCAATGGATTATTTTCATGTTAGAAAAGAAATGATTTCACACAGAATGGGAATACCCAGTCTAATTTATTTATAGTGGCTGTACTTTTGAACAGACACTAGAAGGCAAAATGAAGTGCAGCGCTCAACTCAGTGATAACTACTTCCAAAACTCCAGAGAGCAGCTGTATTCTAAACCACAGTCAGACTTTGAGACTCTGCAACTCCCAAATATTGCTCCAACTGTAGCTAAATCGACAAGCTTTTTTGTTTCATAACCCTCCTCCATATCCCTCCTCCTCTAATTGGACATTTTTCTAAAAGATCTGCTCTAGCAATTATTTTGGGGACATTCTTTGCCCTGCATTATACAGGAGATCAGACGAGATGATCACAAGGTCCCTTCTGACTTTGAAATATGAATTAAATGTTATATCATAATGAAAGGGGGCCCCAGCCTGTTATGCACCCGCTTTAAGGTATTTTCATCTAAACAGTATTTCCCTAGTTTGCTTATGAGAGCATCATGTGGGACTGTGTCAAAAGCCTTACATCTAACTTATCTAAATATTCTTTAACCTGTTTTTTCCCTATTCTGGCCCAAGAATCTCCCCCCTTGTGGTTAATATTAATTGTCTTAAGCATCTGGTCCCAATTAACCTTTCTAGCAAAGACTGAAGCAAAAAGGGCATTTAACATCTCAGCCTTCTCTGCATCATCTGTTATTTGCTCTCCTTCCCCATTAAATAATAGACCTACACTTTCCTTCCTCTTCCATCTAATATATTTATAGAACCTCTTTTTATTGTCCTTTATTGCCCTTGCTAGGTGAAACATATTTTGTGCCTTCGCCTTTCTAATTGTGTCCCTGCATGCTTGTGCTATTTTTTATACTCATCCTTAGCAATCTGTCAGTGTCTCCACTTTTTGTATGATTCCTTTTTGATTATCAGGTCATCAGAGAGCTCCTCACACAGCATGTGCAAATTGAGATTTTTTCAAACTTGGTCAAATTTGGGTGGATTTCACAGGGACAGCAAAAGGCAAATCTCTAACAAAAAGGTCACCACCCTGCCAAATTTCAAGTCCCTGTTCCAAAGAACAGGGGTACTACAGCTTTTCAAAGGAGAGGTTGTCAGTGTTTTTTAACATGGCCAAAACAGTGTATTTTTCACTAACTTCATTCTTGGAAATGGCTGAAGTGGTTCGTCTGAAATTTTCCATAAGATTTCAGCCTGAGGCTGATTTCCAGCATAGAAAAGCTTGTCCCAAAAGGTTAAAGTCTGGCAAAGTTATAAGCAACTGAAAACAGGATCTTATAATGGGAAGTTTTGGGAACTTGAGCACTAATATAATATAATTAATAATATATGGATGTTTGTAATTAAGTAATGGGTTCATGGTGTGAAAATTTTCAGAGAGGAGCACAAATCCACATGGTGTGCCAATGGATGCCTGAATGACCATTGGAGCTTTGAGTTAGCTGAAAGAGGTATACAATCATATGCAGGGAGCTCACTAATCTTCATGAATATGAAATGTCTCCTGTTCATTATTTATTCTGCTAAATTCAGGGAACATATTGTATTTAGAAAATATGTTCCTGATTAACTAATTTTAATAAGAAATATTCACTAACTGGTGCATAGGAGTAATCACAGCAATACTGCCTATCCTCAGAATGAAGCCCTCTGAGAGTGCAGAGAGTCAAGGTGCAGTTTGCACCGCTCTGCTACAGCTCAGATGACTTTAACCTCTCAATAATGCCTGTGCCTCTGGTGCTTTGTTCATTTGTTTAATGTCCAACATTCCCTGACCATAAAGAAATCCTATTCCATCTTTATGTGTATTTTCATACATCTTCATTCATTCCAAAATGAAGTCCAGGCAAACTGGATCTGATACTTTTTAAACTGCTGGCCACCAGATAGAGCTGATGAAAACTATGGAAAAATTTTGGGATTGCTTCAAACTTCTAAAAAATGCTTTAGTGGTTGTACTTTCAGGGCGTGAAAGGGGCACAAGACTATTTACAGCATGAAGTAATTCAGAATTCTGACTGAGATTCCCAACCACATTTAATTTTTAAAGAGCAATACAACCAAAGCTTAAATTGTTCAGTGCCTACAGAGGTCTGAGAGTTTATATTCTGGATCCAGGGTCAGTTCCAGAGAATGTCAGCATTCCAGGAAACATTCCTCAATTCCCAAGGAGGCTGCACGTGGGCTTGGCAACGTGTTTTACTCCAGTTGCTCCAAGAAGTCTTTTACTCGCTATCCAGGCAGCAGTTCCAAGAATAAACAACTTCAGCTCAGGGGCTATAACCTTTAGTGTTCCTTACACTGAATTTAGTGGCCCTCTGACCTCCACAAGAACACAATGTACAAAGACATAATATTTCTCTGTATGGTAGTAGATGTCATACCATATGAAAATATTGTTGCTACTGGGAAAATATAAAGCCATTCCGCTCCAAGCTCATTAAAAAAAATCAAAGAGAAATTATGCCGACTATCTGCACTACTTCTGTTAGAATTTCCCAATTGCTATCGTTTTGTTCTTTGTACTGAACTAGAATGTACAGGCAGATCTGTACCTTGGGACAACAACATGTAGCTACAATGAAAATAAAAGCACTTAGCCAACTTTTCCCACTACCTGATATCATTTTCAGCCTGAAGACACATGAGCCTAATTCTGAGAGCTGCTGAGCATCCTCATCTCACTTTGACTGTAAGACACATTCAGCATTTTGCATTGCAAAACTGGGCTCCCAACGAAGACACTTTTTCTGGTAGATGAATAGGTCAAAAACAAATGGTTAGCTGTCATACTAAATATTTTACTAACCTACACCAGGCTGATCTATGTAAGCCACCACCACCTACTCATTTAAATCTCTTCTAAACGTTCACTTCTCCCACAATAACTAAGTTCACTGTCTTACACCTTTATTCTCTGTTTTATATATAAATATACCTATAAAATAAAAATCTTTAAAAGGCACCACCATAACGTCCACATACTTTTAACTGAGTTACCTTATAATCATGTTCCTGTACCCTTCCTGTCATCCCAATTCCCCACCTTACTGTTCTTCACCCTCACTCATTAGGTCACATCAAAATTTAGATTGTAAAGTCTTTTGAGCAGGACTTCTGTTCCTTTTGTAAGGGGGCCTAGCACACCTTTGGGTGCTATCAAATAATGGATGGAATTTTCAAAAGCACATAAATCACTTAGGAATATAAGTCCCATTAACTTTCAATAGGACTTGTGCTCCTAAGTCACTTGGTGCTTTCTGAAAATCCCATGCAATAACAACTTTGGTAACATTGTGCCACTCCCCAGGGGTACCCAGGGTTCTGAGGCTCTTACCACCACCTGCACTTAGCACAAAGTAGTTTTGTCTATGCTGGCTGTGGATCAGCTCCCTGAAACCAATAACCTCTGGCAGCACAAGCACTACCTTCCAGGCCTCCACAGACCTCACTCTCTCTGTACAGGTAGTGACAGGCACACACCAAGCCCTGTGGGCGTTCCCTGTAGTGTCCAGCCCCTTATCTACTGAACACTCATAGAATCACCAGACCTGCTTGTAAGAGTCAACTCAGGACCAGTCATTTGCTTAACACCAAAGCACTTAGCTATATTTATAGTGAACACAAGGATAAGTTTATTATCGAAAAACAGAGATTCAAGTGATAGTGAATAAGAATATTGGGAACAAATGGTTACATATAATAACAAAATCATAACATGCTTTCTAGAGACTAAACTTAGCTAACAGATTAACCTCCTCTCTAAAGAAGCTTATCTCACCCAAAGTTCTTTTCACTGTTTTCAGCTAACTCTAGTTGAGACCACTTTTTCACGAAGCAAGTCTGCTGTCCATTTACTTCCTACTTAAAGGATGCCCAGGCATCTCCCTTGTACCCCCAAATATACTCAAGCAAACCTTTTATATGCACCTCAAGATAAGGTTCTCTTCCCTGCTGTGTTCCTCTTCCTGTCAGTTTATTTCTGAGATTCCTTTTTACAATTCTTCATTTGCATTCAGTTCAGACTGGTGATAAGGGACCGATGGTGAAAGAGGCAACAGTCAATTTACACGTAAACAGATAGATGGCTAAACATCTCTTGTCTGACAGAAAACCTGTTTTCTGGTAACCTGTTTTCTGGTGACTAATACCTTGAAATAGACTTCAATAACATTTTCAGTATATATACATAACTCCTTACATAGTATCTGTACATACATTTCACAATGATATTGATGAACCAGAATATACAAAGCAGAATCAGGAGATTCCTGTAACCCCTCTGCACTTCCAGTTGCCGTTAACAAGTTCTTGGGTCAGAAATATGTTGCACTTAAAGCTGTCTGGCAGGCTGCTAGAAGATGATCTGCAGCACGGTAAAATGCATGGCAAACCAAAAGCTCAATAAAAAACATCTACAGAGATGTCTTTTTGGTATATCTGTACAGCACCTAGAACAGTGGAACTCTCACCCATGAATGGGGTCCCTAGACACTATAACAATACAAATAACAAATTACAACAGTTAATAATAATGTATACTATCCCTTTAATAAGCAGGAACTTTTCACTAAACCAGTGCAATGCTGGAAGTGGCCAAAACCTGAGGACAGATCCTCAACTGGTTCATCATAGTTCCATTAAAGTCACTGGAGCTGTGACAATTCCAGCTAAGGATCTGCCCACTGGTCTCAGTTGCAAGGATGTAAAACCAGGAAGAGTAACTGTTACATCCTAAAACCACATTTTGGCCCCTCCAGACTCCATGAGTTAGTCATTATTCATACTAGTGTAAATGGATGGAGAGTTTTGCCCACAATGTATCATTTTAAAACTTGTAAAATGAGTTCTAATTGCCAGTATCCTATTATTATTGATTTTTTTTCTGGGGT